TTTGCGGGATGTAATGAAAGCTTTTTGACCAAGGTAGGACTAGTTGGAATGGTTTCATCTTTCCTTAAGCACTTCATTTTATCTTTTCTGCTCATACTTTCTCGACTCTTTGAGTCATTTTCTTCTTCCTCGGGGGAACTAGAGGGACGTAACGTCACTCTTTCTTGAGCAGCGCATTCATTTTTCTCTTCACTACAGCCTTTCCTCCTTATTTTATTTTGGATTCCCTTCAACTTTTTACTTTATTCACTTTCTTTTTGGCATGTTTCTATTTGTTCTTTCTTTTCTTTTCTTTGCCTTCCCTTTTCTGCTGCTGAATTGGTGGAAAAATCTCGCACCTAGCGACAAGAATCATGTGAGAAAGGTCCTTGGTAATTTGCCGTCTTTGTTAGACATCCGACCAAATAGGGCATTGATTGAGGCCGCTACTATGTTTTGGGTTTAGAAAAGAGCTGTCTTCCGCTTCGATGACATAGAAATGACTCCTCCCTTAGAGGAAATAGGAGGTTTTGCTAAACTGCTATGGGATAGTCTAAGATTATTTATACCAGAGAATCGCACCCCTCACGGTTTTCTGAAAATGCTAGGTTTCAAGAAAAATGATGAATTTCTTTGTTTGAAGAAGTCGTACATCCCATTTGAATTCCTTTATGAGAGTTATGGGCACAGTAAGTCAATCGTCTCCATCATGAGGAACTCGCCATTACTTCCTTACGTTGGACGCACCGTCGAGTTTATGTGTGCATTGTCTGCTTCTTACGGTTATTGATATTTCCGATGAAAGGGGGAATGATCCACACTCGTCTAGCCATGGTCGCCCGGACCTTAATGGAAGGCATCAAGGGACAAACCTACACTATCATCCCCATGATCTTGGCTGAAATGTACCGCGCTCTAGATCGGTGCAAGCATGGGTTCGGGTACTTCGAGGGTTGTAATCTATTACTGCAAGTTTGGTTATTAGAACATTTTCAAAGAGGAGAATATCGCCAAGAGCTTCTACGTCGACCATTGAATGACTACATAGCTTACCATCACCTAAAGAGAATGACTTTATCCCAGACATGTTTGCACAACGTGGAAATGCTGTGAGTTGGGTATGTTTCTTCAGCAATCTGACAGACGAGCAGGTACATTGAATGTTCGAATGGTTTCCTAGCAGTGAGTTCATCATTAGGTCGAGAAAGACTACTCATCTGGTATTGATCAGGTTAAGGGGAATCTATCCTTATGCTCCTATAAGGGTAATGAGACAAGCGGGAAGAAAACAAGTTATACCTCGGGTTTCCAACATGGTCCCGTACAAAGCAGATTTTAAAGGGGACATTATTTTGTTCAAGTTCGAAGCACAGCATATGTGGAATCAGAAGGTCATAATGGAAAAGGATACTATTGAGACAGATAGATATCATGCCAGCCATGTGTACTTCTACCCATCATGGTTGGTGGACAATATAGCAGGAGACGTCAAGCCAGGAATCTGAAAAACAGGATCATACATGACGCTGCTGAAGCACAGGTTAAGTACAGGAGGTTACGCAAGAGGGTCTTCGAGTCTGAAGCTAGCCATCTGGAACAACACAAAGTGGATAAGGAAGCAATCAACGAATGGAGGGAAATCGCTACTAAATCAACAGAGAGATTGGAATATCTAGAGAAGGGGTTGACAGAACTTGAAGGAAAAATGAAAAAGAGGATATCAGACCGTCAAAAAAACGGATGGCAATAAATGGGGGCATCTAGCAAGGGCTTACTTGCTGCTAGATATGCGCGACTTAGGGAATTTGATCGATGGAGTCAAAAGAGCCAAGCACGGGGAAGGTCCTTCTAGGACCGTGTAGATTAGGGGAATGTTATTTTACTGCTTTCTAGTTTAGTTTAGATTTCGATTGTAATAAGGCAAATGCTATTAGTAACTTTCTCATTATTGTCGTTTTTAGTAAGGATTTGATTTATTTCCACATTAATAAAATGATGCAATTATTGGCATCAATTTTCTCCAAGTCTAGGTGTCGCTTAGGTCTACCTCGGGCACAATGAGGTCCCCCAAATTAGGGCGCGAATTTGTTTTGCAAAGCATGTTCAATATTGCAAACATTCTTTCAATATCTTTACTGACTTGGTTACCTTTTTTTTCCTTTCTTTTGATTATTCCCATTCCCCAAGGTTGGTTCGTGCATATTGGCATCATCCGCATATCACACTAGATCAAGAGGTCCTCCACCTCCTCCTCCACCAAGTTATCCTAAAAGCGGAAGCAAAGGGAAAGGAAAGATGGACGATTTAAGTCGTATCAGAAGGGAAAATGCAGAAAACGTTGAAACTTCGGATGGTCAAAGTACCCTAGCACAGAACGAATTGGTCCTACATCTGAAATACTGGAGCTACAAGGAGAACTTGAGCAGGTCCGGAACTTGGCAAACCTTTCCCTCACCCTAAATGTCCCCGATATCACCAGCAAAACACAAACGTCCAAAAAACGCTCAATGTCTCCGAAAACTAAGAAAGACATTATGGAAAATTAGGAGCCCATTTGGATGAGCTTATTTTAAGTGACTTTTAAGCCAAAATAGCTTTTGAGCCATAAGTTCGGAATTCTAGCTTTTGGCTTTTGGCTTGTTTTTGTCATTTTAGCTTTATTTTTTACTCTATCCAAACACTACAAAATGGATTAAAAGTTATTTTGACTTAAAAGCACTTAAACTAAGCCAATCTAGACGGGCTCTGAAAGACAGAAAAGTGGAATTACAGTACCACAAAAGCAATTAAAATCCTGTTCTTTAATTCCTTTGTTGGATAGAAAAGCAAGAAGGGGCTTGAGAATTCTTAATTCCTTCAATTCTCCCTTCTTATCCAAGTGAAGAAATGAAAATGTGAACAAACTAAAATATCGAAAGGGAAAGTTTGTAGTACTTGTAAAATTTTAATGCCGTTTCCAGAATGTCCACACATAGTACAACAACAACAACGATAACATATCCATTAAAATTCCACAAATAAAATCAGGAGAAGGTAATGTGTACGGAGACCTTATCCTTACCTTGTATAGGTAAAGAGGCTACTTCCGATAGATTATCGGTTCGAGAAATGTCCAAACATACACAGTGTAGATCAAAACCCATGCATGCAGATATGGTTGGTGAACTGTTGTCAAACACAGATCTCAAAAAAGGTTTTTGATATATTCACGTGATGAGACAGTGGAATTGGGATGTATTTGATGCATAAAAGTTAAGGGACGTACAAGGTCGATATGGGCAGTCAGTGCCTCAGAACATTGCAGAAGAAAAAGAATGGGGCTATTATGAACAAAGATGAATTGTTTGCTTTAATTTGAAATTGGTTCATGTATTTTCCACATCGAATTGTGAAACATTGTCTAGAAAGAAAAGAATATCTTATCAGATGCAAAAAATATGGATATATGATACGAAAAAGAATAGTATAGTCTCATGCCCCATGGGAGATAGAGGTTACCTGTAAATAGGGGTGTTCAAATTGAACCGGAAAATCGCACTGAACCGAAAAATCAAACCAAACCGATTAAAAAACCCGACTAGGTTTGGTTTGATTTGGTTTGGTATTGAGTAAGAAAACCCGAACCAACACGACATATAAATATATAATTTTTATATATACTTTTAAGATTTTGTATAGAATTTTCTTTAGAAAATGTCTAAAAATATTTGGGATTCTCTCATGGGATGTAATTTTTATTAGAACTATGAAGTGCATCCATATTTATTTACTTTAAATAATGAGTTGTATCATCACTTTCTTATCAAGTGTTATTAAAATACGTCAATCTCTTTTTCATATTCATATGTCAAAATTTGTTAAATTCTTATACTTTTATTGAATTTGAAATGGTAGTTCGATACTTCTAAAATTAAATAGAACATACTATTATTTAGATTTCATATGGATTTTATGCTTAATTATTGAATTCAATTAACCTTGAAAGCATACATCAATGAAAATTATTGTTAGACGACTTAAAAAAAATAACTATCATGTGTTACTACAAAATTCTCTCATAAGAATATTTTAATAGATCATATGTTTATCAGTTTTTTCAATTTTTACTAAACATATTCATTTATCAAAACTTTATCTATAATTTTAGTGAAGTAAGATTGAAATAATATTCATGTAACAGAACATCCGAAAAACCTGAAAAATTCGACAAAACCGAACCAATCCAAACCGATATAGTTGGTTTGGTTTGATTTTGATAAAAATCGAACCAACCCGATCCATGTACACTCCTACTTATAAAAATACTCAAAAGATGATGAGTTCCTTTGATGATGTAAATGTTATATTTATCCCAAAATCTTGGAACGTATTAACGCATAGTTTAGCTAAATTCTCTATGTCGCTATTGCATAGAGTTACTTGGGTTTCTACTTTTCCTATTTGGAATATTGCAAACTAAATTGTTATTGCATCTTTTCAAACTTTGCGACCTTTTATGCTTTAATATAGTAAAGTTGCTCCTTGAAAAATGGTACTCTCTTATTGCTTGGAGAGTAGGTTACCAAAAAACTATTTGACAAGATTAAGAAAGAGAAAAAAAACAAAAGATTTTAACTTATATATACCGAAGTGTTAAGTATTGTTACACTATCATGTTATTCGAAAGATGTTTATCAGTGACTATTCAAAAAAAATGAGATTTATAATCATAGAAACAGACAAATTACTGGTTACAAACAAATGAAAATAACCTACTAATATAAATTCAGAGTAATTTTATTAACTTAAAAGAAGAGGAATGCTGGGATTGGGACCATGGTCTTTTATGTTTGTCGATTTTCAGAATACCTAAATCCTAGCGTAAAAGTCAAACGCGTAGAACTAAACCTGACTTTATAGGCAGCGGCACCTCCCTAATTATGCATCCTCGTTGAATATAATTCAACTGCCAACTAATTCTCTCAATCTTCCATTAGCCGGCCATTAATTTATGTCCAATTTTCTCTCTATAAATACCATAAAGTTCTCACTAGCTTATGTACTCAAAACTCAAGCAAAAACATCTTTAGTATATTGTCCACCACTTCCTCACGCTACTCTCTATTATTTTCATCTTCTCCCAATTTTTTAAGAATGGAAATGGTTGGCAAGATTGCTTGCTTTGTGCTACTCTGCATGGTGGTGGTTGCACCCCACGTAGAGGCACTGAGTTGCGGCCAGGTTCAGTCTGGCCTGGCTCCTTGCCTCCCTTATCTGCAGGGCCGCGGTCCTTTGGGAGGCTGTTGTGGTGGTGTTAAGGGTCTGTTGGGTGCTGCCCGAACCCCAGCTGACCGCAAAACTGCATGCACTTGCCTTAAATCAGCCGCTAATGCTATTAAGGGTATTGATATGGGCAAAGCCGCTGGACTCCCTAGTGCTTGTGGTGTTAACATTCCCTACAAGATCAGTCCCTCCACTGACTGCTCCAGGTACATTATTAATTCCTGTATTTATCTTTTACACTATCAGATTACGCGATTTACAACAATACGTAGCTTTTCGTATCAATTTGGTATGATAGCTTGAAAAATAGAGTAATAACCTGTTAGTTATACCGTTCTTGACTAATGTTGGTTAAATTTGGCGATGCAGGGTCCAGTAAGGCTAGTGAAAGATTAGTTTTACTTGGAACAAATGTGGAAGTAGCGCAATCATAATAAGAAGATGGATCGAGTTTTTGATCCTGCTTATGGATCCATTACTATGTATCTGTTTGTTTCTTTTTTATTTGAGTCTTTTCGAGTCACAGTCGAGTCTTGTAACGAAACATTGGCGGTTGGTTGGTATTACAATCCAATCTTGAGACTTGATATATAAAACATCTATCTTATTTAGTTAATCTGTCTTCCATGGAAATTTAATTTTTTATCTCTCTGTTCTCTTTTCTCAGAGTAATTTCTTTTCCTTTTTCATTTACTTTATAACTTTTATTCATTGATGGTCTATAATTATTTACCCAATCGGCCATGCCTTAGATAAGTTCTTACACAAAACTTGAGTTGATACGTAATCTTAAAGAACAGTATAGTATCGTTGGAACTTGAGAATTATACTGAAAGTGCATACAGTCACTTAATAACTCTACCTAAGTATTATGGGGAAAAAAGTTTATAATCAAAAAATCACTTAATTTCACTTTAGTATCACAAAAAAATCAAGGAGAAAACAAAGAGACATATTGTTCACGTGAACATATATATTACTTCTATGATATGTAATTAAAACTGAGTTAATTTTTTTATAAAAATTATTAGTGAGTTTTTCGTTACGTAAACTGATAACGTTAATGCAATAAAATAAAAGTTGAGCAACATAAAAATGAACCCATAAACAATACGTTACTTTGTCAACCATGATAAGTAAAGAAGAAGAGAAACTATCGAAGATTGAGATATGCTATACAACAAATGTAAGAAAAATTAAATCATATATTAGACGAGGAAGAAGAGCAGTCTTAATCCGTGTAATGTTTTGCCCCAAGGCAATATGTTCAGAGTCAGAATATCAGAAAAGAAAAATAAATAAAATCGTCAGCAAAGCTAAAATTAATTTGCTTGTGGTCCATGTATCCTCTAATACTATCCTCTACTAAAGTAAATCGGAAAATGGCCATATATACTTCTGTACTATGAGAAAAGGTTTAAATGTATCGCTCGTTATACTTTGAGTTCATATATATATATATTCCCGTCGTTATAGTATCGATTCAAATATACCCCTTTTCCGTTAAGTTTGTCCAAAGTGGACATCCAATCCTACGTGACAGACACTTAATGAGGTGGATGCCACATGGCTTGCCCCTCAGCGCCATGAGTCAGAGTCAAAATATCAAAATAGAAAAATAAGATCAAAAAATCCCCAAAGCTAAAATTAATTTGCTTGTGGTCCGTGTATCCACTAAGTAATATATATATATATATATATATATATATACATAAAATCAAAATTTATAATCATCTTGACATCCGTATGGGCGTTATTCTTCCTAACATTGTTGTTCGCAACAAAATTTTCGTAGTACGAAAAATAAACTGCAACAAAAATAATATAAAGAAAAAAGAGAATTTATTGATAAATATTTGTAAGTACAATTTTTTGTATCCCTTGATTCTCCTCTATGAAATTCTCTGTGATTCGAGGGCTTGAGAAGTGTCTTTCTTGAAAGTAGGACGATGTAAAACTCCTTGTGATGTATTTAATCGCCAAGAACGTTGAGTAGCACTTTGCTGTTTCGGGTTGATCTCCGGAAAAAACTCCATTGATCACTCCTTTGTGAAGAACTATGCACTTGATGATTGATCTCTTTGTTTATGGATGCCTTCACCAATTGCGGAATGCTCTTCTCCAACTCTAAATGTCCCCTGAGAGTTATGTAACCCCTCTATTTATGTAAAAATTACACGGGCACCCAATTTGGTCACCCCTATTTAATCTATACTCACTTTTTAAAATTTTTTTAACTTGTTCCCACTGTTTAAACAACTTCAGGCCTCTTTCTCCTCCTTCTTCGTTTTCTGAATCCTGAAGATTGAGATACTGTTATGTGTTCTAGCCTGATTATGCATATATATATATATATATATATATATATATATATATATATATATATATATATATATATATGCTTGTCCCATTGTGTGTGTGTGTGTGTGAGAGAGAGAGAGAGAGAACAACTTATATTTGCTATTTTAGCTCTTTACAGCTAGGAAATAGCTTTTGGACCGTCCAGTTCGGAAATTCTAATTTTAATTGCTACTAAAACATGAAAGCACAACTTGATTCCCTGTGCATTAGGTGAAGATGTTACTTTTATTCTAAGGCTAAAATATACAATAAATAGTAGTTAGCAACTGGATCTTAATGACAACTTGTCATTGTTGTTTTAGAACTTCAGCTCTAAGAATGCTGAAGTTCAACAAATATAAACAAAAAGTTCAGCTCTTATAATGCTGAAGTTCAGCAAATACAAAACAAACTTTAGCCCTGAAGTTCATCACAAACATAACAAAGCTTCAGTTAAAACATGCTGAAGTTCAGCAAATATAGAACAAAGCTTTAGCTAAAACATGCTGAGGTTCAACAAATACAGAACAAAGCTTCAGCAAAATCATGCACTTCAGCTACTAGAATGCTTAAGTTAAGCAATTACAAACAAAAACTTCAGCCAACACATGTTGTTGTTTTATTGAGCTGAAGTTTGCCATTTGCACTATGAACTGAAGTTTGCATGATTGCCTTTGCAAGTCAAGCCAAACTTCATGAAAAAATATCTGAAGTTTTGCTACACTTCAGGCAAATTTTTTTGCTACTTCAGGCCCGTATGCCTGAAGTTACGCGACGCTTGCAATTATTTTGCAAAGCGGGTATAAGATAATACGTGAACCAAAAAGCGGGTATAGATGCAAATGTCCCTCTATTTATAGTTGTAGAGAATGGACAATCCAGCTACATATGAACTCCTTTGCTTGATTCTGATTGGCCCATGTCATTTTAGTCATTTGGTGTCCTGTGGTTGGTTCTTGCTTTTTGACTTGGATTGCCACATCATTTAACACGTGGCGTCATCTTTTTGGCTTGCAGTTTGATAGATATGCCATGTCACTTGACACATGGCACGAGTCTGGCCTTAAGGTGAAATGGGTCTTGGGCTTGAAAATAATAAAATAGACTAATTTAATTTGTAAAGTCCACATTAATTATTTATCCCAATTGAATTTAATCTAAATTTTGTATGGATCAGGCCCAATAAAATTTATATGTCTACAGATGCCCCCCCACTTCAAGGTTTGTCCTAACATGTCTTACTGAGACTTGACGACGAGGCTTGAAGTACCAGTAAGACAATTATTATTATTATTATTATTATTATTATTTTAACAAAAGCCTCTTTTGAACTTAATTGCACATATCTCTTTCGAAGTGAAGCACGGAAATATCAAAATTGAAATTTCTTCCATGTAAAATATTCCAAAATAATCACTTGGGTAAACCTGCTTAAATAGGGAAGGAGCTGCTTTTAATATTTTCCTTCTCCGGTTAGAATCAATTCAAGATCTTCTTAAGGATAATAGATCAAAGTAATTTCATCTTTGACTTGAATTACTATTTTAATCCAATTTTTTTTTTTGGAAAGAATGACTAACTCCAAACATTAAGCAAAGCCTCATAACTCACCTACCTTAATTCGTGTTTGGACATTAATTGCAATCTACACATGACGAGTTCTCAATTTGTGTTTCACTAGCACACAGAATTTTCTTTCTTTAACTTCAGTCCAACTTGTCCACGGGATAATTAACTTCAATCCGAAAACTCTCTTCTTTTTTGTTTAAAAGGTGAACTCTTCGTGCCATCCCTATAAAAAGAGGACCAAGCCAACTAGTTTTCCATCACAACTGAATATCAAGTTCTTCTGTCTAACTGGGTCGAAGCACCAAAACTGATACTAGAGCTTCTTCCATCTCTAATTGCTTTCACGAACTGCTTACGCTCGCCCTTTCTTTCATTCCTTTTGTTTTTCCTTATCTCCTTAAGTTTTTTGCCAAATCATGACTTGCTCTCTCTCCCTTTTTCTTCTTATGCAGCAGATCATTCAATCTAAATAGGTAGAAAAGAGAACTAGAAGCAACCAAGTGCGCGCCATGCGATAATTTGGGAATGAAGTTGTGCTTCTTGTACTGCTTCTTTCTTCAGAATTAATCCATATTGAAGGAATCCACCAGCATGAGAAGCCGAATTTGCAAACTTTGAGCAATGGAGATCGCTGTTGAAGACAAAAATTTTGCCCCAAGTTAAAGCTTCGTGCTATGGGCACCGATACCCGCCATGCTGAACTACACTGTTGTGCAGCTTTCGATGTCTTTTTATGTCAAATTGAAGTGCCATATTGCTGAATCGCCGTGCTATTGGCACCGTATCCACAGAAACTTCGTGTTGTTGGCATCAAGGATTTTCAAAATATTTTTCTTTTGCAGGCTTTTGCGAGAGTACCCGCAGTCTTTGATATCCCTAAGGAGATGCACGAGATGCCTATATGATTTGTAGCGAAACACTTGTCTCTTTGTTGCGGCCTGGCGAGAGAGACGCATGAAGTGTCTTTTCAACCTCGGCGGTGAAATCCCTACTCTTGGAGGCTCGGTGAGACCATATTTCATCATTGGCGAGCCAACATGTACCTCATCACATCATTGCAGGTTGACGAGGAAGACAACTGGAGTAGGCCTTTCCAACTTCGGCGAGAAAACACTTAGCGCGTCTCTGAAAAAATATTTATTTTTCGATGCAGGAGAGATGAAATCACAAGCCGCTTCTTCCTAAAGAATCATAACGCGAGGGCTGGGACATATAAAAAATTCAGCACCAAATTCCTTAAGTATTAGCTGCAATATTGTTTTGAATCTGATAAACGTATCCAGCGTTTTAACTTTACAGCATTGTACATTCTTTCCAAAAGATTGATATCTCGAGCTAGGAGTGCCCGAATCGTGAGCCATTTGCGACATTGGAAAGAAAGCTCCGACACCTGTAACACCCGAAAATTTCATAGCAGGATTACCCTCAGAATGGCTGCAATAATATTCTGAAGTTGCTCCTAATGTCTGCCGCACTTGCAATCCAGCTTTGCGTACTCCTGTCGGAAAATTCATATCTCGAGCTAGGAGACTCCAAATTGCGATCCGTTGGCGCTGTTAGAAAGTAAACTCATAGAGTTTCAACACATATGCATTTCACGACCGAACTCCTTTCGATCTAGAAACAGAAAATTCTCCAAGTCCACCTAGCTGCAGTAACTTTCAGATTCGTGTAGTTCCGGCGAAAGAAATAGTATTTTGAGCTAGA